TTTCCCCTCTCAAGATCTTTCCTCTATTCTTTCTAGTAACTGTACGTTTCCAATCCTGTCAGACCACTTTATTCCAAGCATTCACATTTTTACAGCTTTTTTTAGATTGTCCACGTTTCCTATCGGTACAGTATTAAACTCTATACAAAGCACTTCGCGTTTCTTTTCCTTTTCCTCACGTATGTGTCTTTTGCCATTCCAATGCGTGTCTTTCCAGATTCTCCAATCGTCTGGTACAATGGTTCCTAGATATTTACAGCTTTCTACATGTTCCAGCATTACATCTTTCACATACACTTGCATTTCTTCTACCTCTCAAATTCTCATTAACTTCTCTGATTTATAACTTATTCTTCTGCCACATTTTCTTCCATGATCCTCTAAAGCCTTATAGGCAACAATATTTTCGCTGCAAGTCTGATTGTTCAATGGTCACTACAGTTCTTTGTTCCTTTCTTAGCCACACTTCTTCAGGAAATCTTCAATCCCTTCCCTTTTCATATACAGAGTGCCCATTGTGTATGGAATATAGTATATATCTCGGTAAATATTGAATGTATACAACATTTTTGATATAAAAGCTATTTAACATTATTTTTATTTCCCATAATAAGGCAGCAGTCAGTTGTTTTTATTTCAGAAAACCTCTATCAAATGAGCTTAATCAAAGTGTGCTTTGCTATTTAACAAAATTCAATTGTTTTTCGTTATTCATTTGTTTTCTGAAAAAAAAACAATGGAATGCTGCCTTATTATGGGGAATAAAATGTTAAACAACTTCCATATAGAAAAATTTGGTATGCAGTCGATCTTTACCGATACTATTCCATACATAATGGGCACCCTGTATATCATTACATAGAGGTGTTAATTCCTCCACTCCTTCTTCCTGAAAACACCACTGGAATTCCATTTATCCCAGTAGCTTGACCTAATTTAATATTTTTCATTGCTCTTTCTCGGTTCTCGGTAAGCATAATTCTGGCTCGTATATTCAGTCAGAATAAACTGATTCTTCTATTTTGCCTTACTTTTTCACGTTTTTTATAGAGATCTACCATGTCCTCTTTCCATCGACTTACAATCTATCTCTTTTTTCAGTACTTTTCCATTCCTGTCTTCCAGCTCTGGATGATCTATAGCTGTTTCATTACATTGATTTTCACAGCACCTTTTTCTAGCTTCATCAGTTTCTTTTCTCCACTCCGTATTTAGCGTCCTGTTCTTGTATCTTCCTCGCCCTTCTAATCCTTTCCTGATTTATCCAAGGCTTCTTATTCCTTTCTTATACCCAACTTTCTCTTCAGCTGCTTTGATTATTTCCGGCTTAATTCTGTTCCACTTACACCCTACATCCTGCTCGACTTGTGGCGACTTTAGATTCATTATTTCTTCATTAATAAATTTCCCCACTTGCATTTTTTTTCTTTCCGCGCTCTTTTCACGATTTTAAGCCTAATTCTAATGTCTGCCATAAGTATAAATATGGTCACCATAAATATCGGTAGAATCGCAGTATGAAATCTATTTCCTTTTGGTAATAATGTCCAGGGGATTTTTGATGTACAGCCTTCTCTTATGGTTACTAAACAACGGTTGGTACGTATAATCACAATCCCAAAGTTTTTTCGCACCTCCATTGTGGTAGGAATTTGCAAAAAAAAATCGAAAAGCGCATACAAAACCTATTCAAAACCAGTCTTTGTAACTCTTATGGTTGCTGAGGTTAAAAATGAAAGAAGAAATGTAAATTTCACCACTTTTTTTACTGTGGCTCCCAAACGAAACACGTCAATTTTTTTACATACTTATAGGTATCACCCCGTGTAATGGTGATGGTTCAGCATTTCTGGTACCTCAGAAATTTTCCTCTATCTGTTTTTTAATGGATTGACTCAATTAGAAACGACTATAGTCTTTTAAAAGATTGACAAAAAAATATAATCGAAGACTTAGAGAAAAGAGGGATTTTCTGCCAACAGTGGTATTGTAAATCCTTTTAAATTAAAAGAAATTATACAGAGTGCATATTTTATATATTTTTTTAAAGAAACTTTTTATAGTAGGCAAAATTCTAAAAAGGTGTTGTCAGTGTATGTACTTTACATTTGTGGTCAATGGCGTATTTCTGCTTGACCAAGGGGGATATATTTTTTAGTTGCAACAATTAGTTTCCATTACATATTATTAAACAGCCAACTTTTTTGGATACAGCAGCATAAAAGGTGTGTACTTTAAGAATATGTAATAAAAAATAGTAGTTGCTATTTAAATAAAAATATACCGCTCTTAACCAGGCAGAAGTACGGCACTGACCTCAAGTTTAAATTACGTAGATTGGTAGCAAACTTTTTATAATTTTGGATACCATAAAAAACTTTTTTACAAAATGTTGTTTTGAAAATGCATTCAGTGTTCATTTGTTCAAGTCTGTCTAACATGAAATCTTTATCTGGGTGGCACTTTGGATTCGAATAAACTCACAATTAATCGATTGCCAACTAGAAAATTCTAAAACACATGAAAGAAGTAAAACCTGTTTAAACATATTACCCCGCACGCAGGCGGGCAACAATTAAAAAAATCTGATTGTTTTTTTGGTTTTCCAGTATTTAACTCACGGAACATTCAAAAAATGAAATGGAACAGATTTGGCTATATACCCTAAATTACACGCGTTTGTTTAAGCTTTAAACAAAAGATAGGTACCTACAAGCAACGAAATCTTTTACATTTACAGAAAGTGACCTAAAAAAGTTTTTTTCAGCCCCAGATAATTAAGTCATATGTGAAGTAACGATACTTAGCAATTACAAACATTTCTAAATGGAAATACACACAGTGAAATACAAATTCAAACAAAATGAACCAACCGTGTGCTTATTTTGTAAACAATCTCCCAAATTTAGAGAATAAATTGGAATATTCTCATATAGAGGATGTCCCGTTATTATTTTTGGTGCATACACCGAAATAACCTCTACTCCTGCGACGGGGTCATTTTACCATTAGGGGAGTTCGAGTAATTAGGAAAGGTTAGAAAGTGGTACCCGAATTTTTGGTTAGATGCAATTTTGAGACCTGGGGTAAACTTGAAAACAAATTGGTGAAGTGTATCTAAATTTTTCTTGGGTGTAGAGAAGAGTTCTCCTGATTTTCCGCTACTGTGTCCTGTGGGGACAATTATTTTTTATTCCTCAAAGCAGTTGTATTGAACTTGTTTCCTGAATGTACTGCAAGTTCAAAAACTTTTCGTTTGGAAGCTATGAATATTACGTTACTACTTACGTTTTCTACCCCAGAATTGTATCTCATTCAGGAAGGGAGCGACTCACATTCTGGTATTGCCAACATTTGTTTCATCCTTGTAGGGCCGGGAAAGAATATCCCTACCGCAGAGGACACTCGTAATTCGTAAGATGTGACCGTACAACTGCAAGTCAACCGCTATCCCGAGTGGTCTGATCCTCGAGAATGACAATTTGGTGCTTTAAAAAAGGCGTTAATGTACATGCTTTCATTCAATTTAAGTTCAAAAAATAATACTACACTTCTTTTCAAACCAAGTGACATATTATCACCTTTATAGTTGTATAGGTCAGAGGTAGGCGAGGATCTCGGCGAGAATAATATTTTCCTAATGTAAATGGTCAAATTCAGATAATGTTTCAGGTTTTTTAGTTTATGTGGAAGAAAATGTTTGTTTTAGTCTCTTCCATCACCAGATTTTTTTGATAATTTCGAAAATTGTGTTTTCAACTCTCGAGCGACCATCGACCGTATACTTCTGGGAGGTGAAGGGTTCAAAATTGTTTTGTCTGCCCAGCGACTGTCTATCTAATATGGGACTCTCACATTCTGTATAAATGCTCCTTTTCTTTTTGGAGTTTCAACCTTTTTATCATGTTTGTTCATTGTTGGCAGTCAGAGGTCTTTTTTAGCGCATTTTTTAAAAGTTAAAACAATGGTACTCTAATGAAAGGTCACAACGAAAGGAATTAATTTACATATACCAACCATAGTCGCCTCCTCGACTCTTTATCGTGATCGGATATAAATAATTCCTCAAGAACAGGTTGTCTTAGGATGGTGCTTACAAAAGGCGATTGGGACGTCTTGAAGACATATATCTATTGATGATGTCAAAACTTTACCAGCGAATATCTCAAAAACGTTTTGTTGGAGGCAAAATTAATTGTCTGGACGAGACAAAAGCCTCCCAATCATCTAACAAGAAATAAATAATCGATAAATATAGCATGCTACGATGCCATTCATACATTTAAGTAATAAATTTGATATTTCATATTGACAGCCTTTGCAAATCAAAATTTTTTGACTAATTTTTGAAAAATTACATAATATATGCTACCAAGCGAATAGACAACGAAAAACGTCTGTCAATGTGCTATCGCCCTATTATTTTTATTTCATACTATCTAGTAATCGCCGCTTTCCCAGACCCATTTGAGTAATGTGTCAAACTACTGTCAGATCATGAAATCAAGTGATCGACTTTTGCTTTCATTTGAATGCGTACAACATTCTAATCAAAAATTGTATGGCATTTTAATAAAAGAAAGAACAGTATGAAATAAAATGTTTTACATTATTTGTATGTTAAATCAGTTAACGTTACTCGTTTCGAAATTCCTGCCTCAGCTACGCTTCGGCAGTAAACATCTCACTCGCTAACGTAAACCTTGATTTACCATACTCATATGTAAACAACTATTTTCCTCCAATATTACTATAAAATTGATGGCAGATGTTTATTACTAAGCTTTTGTTCATGTTGTGTTGTCAAAATTCAAAAAATTACATAAAAAGAACTAACCGCTCAACAGACGTATGTTATACGTTTACACGCTTGTTCTAACCTATGTTTTTAAAGTGACAGACGTTTACTAATCATCGCATAAAATCACTCGTTATCTCTCAGTCTATAATGTGGAAATTAGATTGTAGACTTTTATCTTAAACTATTGACATCCAAACGGTTAAGCAATATTGAAATTTATTGACTTTACTATCAACATTTACACAGACAGGTACATATTGTGTCATGCATGATGGCAATTTGTTTGTTAGAAGGATTGCTCTGCACTATACTTTAACGACTTGCGTCTTAACCTCATAAGGGGGTTGGCTGTCGTGTATCATCCAAACGGATCCACTGCGCGCTTCTTTTATGACAGTGACAACAGCTTTTCCTACGACTGATGCGCTGAAAGATGAAATACAGTTTGAACACAATTTTCCAAACCTGAGTGCGTTACGGTTGGGGAGGTGGTAGAGCTTTTATAGCTTCGACGAAAGCTTCATAATAGGCAGGTCCTTGAAAATTATCCTGACCTAAATCTATAGCAGCCGTATCAGTATATCCTGGGCAAACCGCAATAACTTTGATTCCAGTTCGATTGTAATGATAATCGGATCCCAAACTGATTGTTAAAGCAATACTACCAGACTTGGCGGCTGCGTAAAGTGGAGAGAACGGTGAACCGTATAGTCCGGATGGAGAGGAGATGTTTATTATTACCCCCTTGTTATCGCTTGCGTACTTTGGTAGGTAGGTTTCGTATGCCAGCATGGTGCCTGTGATTGTTCCAGTCTGTAAATAGTAGGATCATTTCATCTGTACATCACATCACATTTCACGTAACCAGAGGAGAAGGTGGCTAATCTCGTGGCTAATCTAACCCATAAAGGATCGGTGAAAGAATTGGTCTGTGGTATTCTCTACCTATTGTAAAAGGCAACTCCTGAGGTAAGGAATCAACTCCCATCCAGTCTCAACGGCCTCATGGCGGAGGAGTGGTTGGGAGAAAGGCACTCTCTTGTTCTTGTAGAGAGAAATCTCCCCAAAAGGCGGATGAACAACTAAAGTCAATGGCATAGAATGCAGAAGGCAACGAGAAAGCACTGCATTCCAGATTATTCCAAGTTGATGGTGGCAAAAATGGATACTTCGCATATTAAAGTTAATATCGGAAGTAACTTACCTCCTCAATCAGATTACCTGGAGGGCAAATATACGAAGTGTGCATCCAAGAAGCAAGAGAGGAATAGAATTAGATTTGTGGAACGTTAGAATGCTTATTCAAGGCGAAAAGCTAGCAAAAGTACTAATTTGGGTAGTAGAAAATGGAGATCATTTCACCTTCTCTTATAGTGGAGATATAAAAGGAAGAAATGGAGTGGGATTTATAGTTAATGAGAAGGTACAGTAAAGCGTTACCAAAGTAATAAACGACTGTGATAAGATCGCAATGAAAAAAGATGCGATACCAAGAACAATACTGGTCATCTAGGTAGGTATACATGCTGGCAAGTGGTCACCACAATGAAGAAATAGAAAAACTGTACGAAAGAATTAGAGGAATAACAGGGACGCTTTAAGATTGTGATGGGGGTTGGAATACCAGTGTGGGACAGGAAGGGATTACGGGAGTGGTTAGAAATTACGGACTTGAAGAAAGGAATGAAAGATAAACTGATTGAGTTTTACAAAGAAAATAAGATGAAATAGAAATAGGTGGAACTATGACAGAAATAGAAAATAAGAATGGCACGTTTGTTACAGAAGAAAGCAAAGTATTGGGAAGATGGAAAGAATGTATGGAGGAACTATATCAAGCAAAAAACAAACCAACACAGCTGGCAGTGGCAAGCGTAGAATAAGTTGGGAATTGCAACATCGGAAAAGGCACTCTATCAACGGAAGTAATGGGAACCATAACAGAAATGAAGGATGTGAAGGCTGCAGGAGTCGATAATAACCCCACAGATTTATTGCAGGAAAAAGGAATCAAAGAAATTACATCTCTTTGCAATAAAATCTACGAAAGTGGACTGTGTCCAGAGTACTTTCTCTGTTTCTCTAATTACTGACTGGCTTGATACCGGAAAAGGAAAGAGGTTGTAAGGAAACCAAATCAAACCTATAAAAAAGGAGGCTAATTATAATTTGTTAGCAAGCTGGAAAAGGCAAGAAGCAATTTAAACTTTTTTTCACAGATTTGCCTTAAGAAAATCACAGATGCCTAAAATCCGTCTGGGAGATTTCCTAATAATGGACATTTATATAACTGACTCATTTACTACGAAAACAACGTATTCTACTTACCAAATTCGCTGCAATGTATCTATCCCAGTCCTTTGTGCGTGACAAAGCATTATTTACAACGATATCTATGTTATGGAATATCTCTACAGTTTTTTTAAATGCCTCTGAAATCTTGCTCTAAAAAGTGCGTATCTACACACGTGAAAAATACCTACCTTCAATCTCTTCCTTAATCAACACATCCGCTCTGATAAATATGACTCTGCCCTTGCCAAACTCGTTGGTTAGTTCCTCAACCCTTCGTGTTCCCTTACCTGCGCTCCTCCCTAGAATGGCAACTCCCTAAAAAAACTAGAATTCACACCAATACCCTCAAATGGATCATACCTTTAACTCGGCACGCAAAAGCTCCTTTGCGATTGCTGCCCCAATTCCTTCGGAACCGCCAGTTATGAGGGCCACTTTTCCAGAAATTGGGAACATCTTGATTTGCGTGGGTGTTGTGGGTTCACACGTTTCACTCCAAATGAGGCCAAGTTTACATTAATAATATTTCGTTCATTAACAGATAAGTTATCTTTAATTAATAGTTAATGCGACGAAAATTTACTCAACAAACATGGAGATGAACCATAACGTTATGCTTCATTAAAGATTAGAGGAGAAAGGTTTCATGTTTGGCAATCAGTCTGATACTTTTCGATGCAAAGAACCCATCTTCGAATTGGAACTTAAACGAGAAATGGTCACTAAGATGTGGGTTATCATGCAATTTTAAAAGGTTTAAGATACATTCGATTTATACAGGGTTTGCAAACTTACCACCCCCATGTCTTAGTAAATAAACGAGATATTTAAAAAAATCAAAATCCGTTTTGGTAATTCGGAGGGGGAATCACAATGACATAGTTGGCGACGCACCCCCTCCAACCCCCTGCGCCCCAGCCACCACAACATTTAAATCTTAAATAGTGATCCACCATGTGTGATACGTCGTTGTAAAGCTCTGAAAAAATGCTTTTCAACCATACCAAATAGCATTACATGTTGGTAATTATCGTGCAAATCAAAAAATAAACAAAAAAATTCAAAATAAATATCAAATATGGCGCAAGAATCAAAATGTTAAAAAAAACTCTTGCGTTAGTATAAAAACAATAGACCTATGGAAGTAGGTTGTATTCATCCACCTATAACACCGGTCTACAGCATGTTTGCGCATGGGACATATATACCTTATTTGTATTGCTTGTATACAAATAAGAATTAGAACAAAAAAAGGTTATGTATTTGTTTTTGTGCGAAAAAAATGCAAAAAACCAAAAAGTAGAAATACCTACCTATAAAATCTTACTTACATTGGCATGATTTATTATAAGGTAACGTTCCTACATTTATAATTTGTTTGCCTTAGAGTCTAAATGTTTAAAAATGGAACAGTTTTGCTGTTTTTGTCATGTTCAACTGAAGTTTTTCTCATCAACCCTCCAAATATGATCTTCCATCATGCTTCCAGGGTACTGGCCTTGGTAACGTGCCTAAATTCCATTATGTCTTGATGAAAGGGTTGTCCTTGTTATTCCGAATAGGCTCCCATGTTATCCTTAAATTAGTCTAAACCTGTGCATCTTTAGAGACATTTTATACCCGATGATGCAAAACCAAAACCTGTCAGCTCGTCATAATTTTCAGCTCTATGGTTTCCCAGGAAACACTGAACGGGAAACCATGGACTATTGCCTTAAAACTGTTCCAGGATTTTGTTCCCTCTTTGCTAAGTAACCGCGGGAAAATATCACCCTCCATTATTCTTTTTATTTGAGCGAAACAAAGATTCCAGCTTTAATTTTCACCCCTGAAAGCTTTCGATCAAATCGCTATAACTTTTGTAAAAGCAAATATTTTCGATGTCTAATTGCACTTTTTATTTATTTTTGCTTATTATAGTCAGAATATATTATGTAAATCCCATGCGCAAAAAAAAAATATTTTTGTTGTTGATCGGTGTAATAAATGAACTGCGCGTGTCAATGATAAGCGCGGATACTGCAGATGAGAGAGAAGGGACAACTAAGAGGACAAGCTGTCCTTTACGGTTACGCATCTGATTTAATTTGAATGCGATCGCGATTGCTCCTGTTGAAAGAACCAATCAGATGTGTAACGGTAAGAGACAGCTGGACCTCTTAATTCTTCCTTCTCTCTCACCTGCAGCATCCGTGCTTGACATTGGTACGCGCAGTCCATTTATTATAAGTCGATGGTTGTATTCGAAAAAGCTCCTGTCGAGGAACGAAAAATTAAACGCGCGACTTAGCTAGAATCGTGACGAAAATACACTCCTCGGTTACACCTTCCTAAATGTGGCGACAGATTAAGGGAATAATGGGGACACGTCCCCATTCCCGTGTCTAAATATTGAGGGAGACGTAGAAAATTCTTTCAAAGCGTAGGTATCCTGTGACACGCGGTACAAAAATGGAAAAAGAATCACAACCATTGACTTTGGATACAAAAATATACCGCCTGTTTCAGAGTAAACGCCTTATTTTTTTAGCCACACTATGGGTACTACTTTCAAAATATTTGGTAGTAATATATTTCAGGACATTTTCTTTGCGCGATGGTGATATCCGATTTTCAATTGAACGAATTATTTCAAAATGGCGACTTTCAACTTTTTTTTAATGGAATGCTATCATTTTTACCACCCGCACGTTAGTAAGGCATTGTGGTAAAAAATGACTCCCCCCTCCATTTTTGTACAGAAATACACGTTTTGAAGCACCAGGAATCCGAATCAAATAAAATCTCGATGATGTCCGTCTGTACTTTCATTTCGGGCTAACCGGCTGAACCGATTGGAACCAAATTTCGCACACATATTCTTAGACATAAAAGAAAAGGCTGCTAGCCACAGCAAATTTTTTATATTATTGAAATCTAAAAACATTCTTTTTACGATAGTATTTTGTTTTTCTCAAGTATTCAATTCTTTCCCTATCAAAAAGAAAACTAAATTTTAATCTAGTAGCGCATGAATGTTTAACAGACGATGTTTTTTTGTCCATATATCAAGTTTATTACAAAATAAAGCTTAATTGTTTTTTTACGTCTACGGCTACTTGATATTTGGACAAAAAAAACATCGAGTGTAAAACATCCATGTGCTACTAGATTACTAGATACCTGTTCACTACCTAATAGATATTCTGAAAGGGATATAAATATAACTGCTGAAACCGCACGAACATTCAATAATTTATTGCAGTTAAGAAAATAATAAATAATAATAATTTTGATTTCATCCTAGAAATAAAAGTAAAACACAAAAAATAAAATTAAGGCAGTACATAATTAAACTAAAAATATTGCAGTATAATAGTACACCGGTTTATGTTGATAAGGTTTAGGACTTTTCGATGTCGTCGTTTTCGTTAACGTTCTACATCTTGTGATTATGATTGTACAAAGTTCCAAAAACTAACTTAAATGGTAACTTTAGACCTTCTTTATTGCGTCTAAACCATTGATGCTACAAGTAGAACTCATAGAATAGCAGTTGTCGGCAATTTTTATCTTCAAATAAAGCGTAGAGCGGATTCTGTGGGCCTCGTAATTCCCTCAAAATCTCAGAAAAACCCTAGGAAAAACCTATACAGGGTAGTGACTTGCGTCACGCATTATAGGGATTTCAATGTAAAATTCATAACATGCCATTATTGGCTCCCCAAATTATTTTAGAGCAAAAATGTAAAAAGGTTTTTTGTAGAAAAAAATTTTTTACGTCCATCAACCGTATTAGTTTTCAATTTGTTGCATAATAAAGACGGAAAATTGGAAAAATAAAACCCGCATCTTTTTCAATAATCTGTGATGCCATGGAATTTTATAATACAAAAACTACGCCAATATCCGACATGCCATGGAATGTCTGCTATGAAAGAAATCATATTCTATCAAAAAGTATAATATTTAGAACAGCGAATTCAACATAAAGAACGACCAAATTACTAAAAACGGTTTCCTAATATAACAATTTGCAATAAATGTTCGAATAAGTCACCATTAACTGCAAGACAGTAACCAAGTCATTCATAAAATCCATTTCGAGTTAATTGATAACTGGATATCTTTTTGTTTTAGAAAATTCCATGGCATCGCAGATTATTGAAAAAGGTGCGGGTTTTATTTTTCCAATTTTCCCTCTTTATATAAAAAAAATTGAAAACTAATACGGTTGATTGGCGTAAAAAAAATTTTTGTACAAAAAACCTTTTTACATTTTTGCTCTAAAATAATTTGGGGAGCCAATAATCGCATGTTATGAATTTTACATTGAAATCCCTATGATGCGTTACGCAAGTCACCACCCTGTATAAAGTACGATCGCATTTTTCTGATTACAAAACCTTTCCTTCATCTTATTTGTTTTTTAGTGCGGTAATGAAAAAGAAGGTATGTAATCATTTAACGAACGGTGAAATGTATTTTAATATAAACGTAAGTAATCAAAATTACAGTAATCAATCAAATATAGGCACATACTCAAAATCGCTCTTTGGCGTTGGCTGCGGTGTTGACAAAAGTATGGAAGCGTACATCGTTGAGGGTGTCTGTCGTCTCATCTCCTCGATATAAGGCAACTAGACACTTGTACTCGGCTGCTGGGACTTGCTGGTCTAGGTGGAGGAAAACTGTTGCTTGGTTCACTAGTACTTGGTTCGGTCTGAAGTGGCTCCACATTTTCATCTCCCCCTGCCGGAAAGGGGCAGAGGTGATGTCGTACACAGTAAATGCACGGACCAACAGTTCAAATCCAGGTGGTACCACCACATCCCTTTGGTTGAGCGCACTGGTGGAGAACTGGATGCAACCCGCCTCACCTCTGGATCCTAGATCGTAGAGATCGTTTCTAACGATGATGACGTGGTCATTTTTGTAGAGCAGTCTTAATCCCCTTCAAAGTAAAACCAGAACAGAGCAGCTCAATGAAACGAACCTTGTTTTTGTCCTTCAAGAGCATCTTCTTGACGATGGACAATGCGTGAAATACAATTTCCGCTGATACTGCAGAATAGCGGTAGGTGTTGCCCAAGAGATGACTTTTTCGTTCCTTGAGAAAGTAGCAGTCCCCGACGTTTTCCCAGCGATTCGGTTCAGCCCTTACAGCCTTTCTTCTCGGCCCGTGTTTCTTGTTTAACATTCATTTCATGCAACAAAAAAGTGATCTGATACTTACTTTTCTGGAAAAATGCCTAAATTGTCACAGATTATTAGTCTTCAAAAACGTATATCGTGGCTTTCAACAAAAGGTGCATAGTGTAAGGGATATAGAGCAAAAACTGGAAAAAGCCCGAAAATCTGACTATGTTTCGTGTGCTTCGATTTTCTCACTACCAAAATGGGTCCAAACAACATACTAAAAAAACATGCTGTGTCTAGCACAATAACCACCTGCGCATGCGCGATCCTGCCCATTGATGTCTAAGAATATGTGTACCAAATTAGGTTCCACACCTTTCCGCCATTTAGCCGGAAATAAGAGTAGGTACAGACCGACTGACGGACAGACATCATCGAGATTTTGTTTGATTCGAATTCTTGGTGCTTCAAAACGTATATTTCCTTCAAAAAAAGTGGGGGGGGGGGGTAATTTTTTCCCCCAATACACCTCCCTTACCTCCCTTACAAACGTGGGGGTGGTAAAAATCAGAGAAGCATCAGGTTTTGCGAATTTACCGATTTTTTGTGTCGCTTTTGACTGGCCTATAAGGTCTTGGAGATGGAGGGTTAGATAATTTTGTGTGGCTGTCGAGCGAATAAATTCCCTAGAACCGATCTCTTTACCGCGTTCGTTGCAAGTCGGAGACCTTTATTTTATAATCTGGAAATTAGATTGTAGACTTTTATCTTAAACTATTGACATTGCAATGGATTATAATTAGTTCGAATCAATAGCCATCTTGGAGCATATATAAACATATAGTATAGGTCATACATATGTTGCCTTGCGTGTTTGGTGGGTGCGCTATACCTTCACCACTTCCATTTTAACCTCATAAGGGGATTGGCTATCGTGCACCATCCAAATGGATCCACTGCGCGCTTCTTTTATGATCGTGACAACTGCCTTTCCTACGGCTGATGCACTGTAAGATGAAACACAATTTGAACACGACCTCTCAGAGCTGAGTGCCTTACGGTTGGGGAGTTGGTTGATCTTTTATAAGTTCAAGGAAAGCTTCATAGTAGGCGCGTCCTTCAAAATTACCTTCACCTACCCCTACACCAGGCGTATCAGTATACCCTGGGCATACTGCAATAACTTTGATTCCCGTTCGATTGTAATGATATTCGGATCCCATACTGATTGTTAAAGCAATACCACCCGATTTACTGGCTGCATAAAGGGGGGCGGACGGTTCGCCGTATAGTCCGGATTGGGAGGACATGATTATTATTACACCCTTGTTATCGCTTGCGTACTTTGGTAGGTAGGTTTCGTATGCCAGCATGGTGCCTGCGATTGTTCCAGTCTGTAAATAGTAGGTTAGTTAAAATTTAAAAAACCCAAACCCGTGACTGATGTACAACGCTTAAACTGAATGTCATTATATTGGTAGGGTTGCAAAATGGATTGAGATTTTCTTAAAAACGAAACGACTTTGCATTTGGACATGTTTAGGCATTTTTTGGATACCATTCGCAGTGTTCAATTATTTGTAAAAATCTTTAAATCAGAAAAGAATGTGAAGAAGACAATGAACTGTATGCGACCGTGGTTAGATCTCTGCGGAACTCCTGCGGTAACCAAAGCAAAGTCAGATATGTAATTGTATTGAACAGCCATCCCTCCCCCTTTTCTGACGTCAGTGCTGCGTTGTGATTGGGTGCGGCATTTTGTGGCGGTAAGTTTGAACTTGCTATGAAAGAACAAACTACTGTCACTAGTTTAAAACGAGAACTGAAAGTATTATGCGCATTATTCTACTTACCAGATTCGCTGTAATATATCTATCCCAGTCCTTTGTGAGTGTTACAGCATTATTTACAACGATGTCTATATTATTGAATATTTCTACAGTTTTTTTAAATGCCTCTGAAATCTTGCTCTAAAAAGTGTGTACTTACACATGTGAAAAATACCTACCTTCAATCTCTTCTTTAGTCGACACATCAGCTCTGATAAATATGGCTTTTCCCTTTCCAAACTCTTTGGTTAGTTCCTCGACCATTCGCGTTCCCTTATCTGCGCTTCTCCCTAGAATGGTAACTCCCTAAAAAAAACTAGAATTCACACCAATACCCTGAAATGGATCATACCTTTAACCCAGCTCGCAACAGCTCCTTTGCGATTGCTGCCCCAATTCCTTCGGAACCGCCAGTTATGAGGGCCACTTTTCCAGAAATTGGAAACATCATGATTTGTGTGTGCGTGTTGTGGGTTAACGCGTTTCACTCCAAATGAGATTATCCGATCATTAGCAAATGTACACTAATAATATTCCATTAGAGATAAGTTATCTTTTATAAAAAATTAATTGGAAAAAAACAACGCGGTAATAAGATTACCCAAGAAGCATTGAGATAATCCATTACCCAAGTATATAAAATCTTCACGGGCATCATAATGTAAGAAATAGAAAGTAATAGAGAAGCTATTTTGATTATGGATCCGTTTTGGATTTAGGAAGGGGAGAGAAGCTATCCTGGCCTTTAGATTAATATTTAAAAACCGACTGCCAAAAGATCAGGATACTTCCATAGCCTTTGTAGATCTCGAGAAGACATTTGATAAGGTGAATTGGCAACAATTTTTTAAGATAGTGAAGAAAATTGGTATACAATTTAACGATCGACCGGGGATTGAGAGTCTGTACAGGGAAGAGATGGGGGAACATCAAATTAGGGCCGAGATCAAAGAAGGAGTAAGGCATGGATGCTCACTCTCACCCCCCCTTGTTCAGTGGAGGTTGTCCCTCGCCAGTAGATGAGAGGGCAGGTTGCCTAGAGCCCCCTGGTTCTCGCCTCATCTTTTTTAGCTTTCGGCGCGCTGTCACGGAGAGATTTTTTTAGGTTCCCCAGGTGCTCTGCGAGTAGGTTTTTTTTGGCTTTTTTGTTTTTATTTTTGGATATGTATCCCGCGAGTAGTGGTAGGAGGGAAAGAAACCAAACCCTTGGACACGACACGACAGCCGGGGTGTTAGCTGATCCGTGATACTGTTTTTGGTTGCTACCACTTGCTGTTTCCTAAGTCACGAGCATTCTTATCCTTAACATTAACCTATGCGTCACGTATCCCCATTCACTTAGGCCGTTCCCTTATCCGCGCCTGGTAGTGTGGCACCCCTCAGGATATTGCTGTGACCCTAACCCTGACAAAACACCTTAAACTTAACTAGTTTGAAATTCCTCTTAGTGTACATCCGCACCCCGGCACAACAAAAATAATTCAGTTCTTTAGACTTAGACCTGATTCCAAGCAATGGTCAAGATCAAACTCGTTAAACTCCAAAAATGTCATACCAAATCTTTGAAAGCACGTGAAATGAACATTGAACGCGGGACAACAAAATAAATCGTAATTAAGCATGGGACTTATCTCTGAATCGTTAAAGGGATCCAATAAACACGCGACTTGCATGATTTTACATAAACAAAAATTTATTCTGCGGCCACAATTAAATATAAAATCATATTTAACAAAATTGGACCACAGCGTCCGTATAAACAAACCACGCATATGCGTTCGATTAATTAAAATAATTAACAAATTAATAATTACGGTCATCGAGTTACAAAATTCTCATAAAATCCGGGCACACAAAAACACTAATTTCAAACGGAAACAACGTATTTAGCCGACACGCGACGCACAAAAATTTGGGCTTCTTAATTCAATTCCTCAAACAGGTTGTTTAGTCCAGTCAATAATAGAGAAAAGTTTAGTCAAAAATTTGGTGTCCAAGAGGTTATGACTGATTCTTATGTATTTTTTGGCGTAGATTCCGAATTTTTAATCTCCCACCAACCTTAGGGGGTGGGAACCCCCCCAAAAATGCAAAAAACCCCAAAATTTCGGCCCAAAATTCAGAATTTTGGAAAAATCTCGCTAAATTTAGATTTTTGGCCCAAAGTACCTTAGTTCAAAATTAAAGTACACAAAATTTGCAGGAAAAGTGATATATACACTTTTGGTCTAGGACCAACGGGGGCGGAGATAAGAGGGGGGTCAAAAAGGGTACTTTGTTGGAAAACGTGAAAAAAACGGAATTTCTCTGAATAACTCGCTAAATGTTGGTTTTAGAGAAAAAACTCAAAGGACCAAAATGAAAGTAGACGAAAAATTACTTCGGAAAGTGCACGTGTGCGGAGCCGATGAAGGGGAGGAGGAGGGGGAGGGGGCGAGCGCAAAACCTCTCTTCCTGGCGCCGCGCGACGGCACTGGCATAAGGCGCTATACGCGCAGTTTCGGGTATCTCTGGCGGCCTCGGTCCCGGTCATAACGGATGCTTCTTTGTCCTTATTTTAGAAAGGGGCCTCTGGCTTCCCCCTCCCTCTTGTTGGTCGTTTGTATGCTTTTTGTGTCCTCTGGAAACCAGTTCAAGATCCCTCTTCAGTGCGTCTGTGTTGTCGCGTCGTGTGCATCACGCTATATTGCTCCGTGCTTATTTATTTTATTATTTACTATTTTTCGGTTAAAAGTTTGTTGTTTTTACCGAAATTTTCTGTAATATCGTGCTCGCGCGCCTGTGCGTTTTGAGTTTGTTCGCTTGCATATACTCTCGAGGGGAGAGAGTGAAACTAGTTTTAACCTTCATGGTACTCTAATGAAAGGTCTCAACGCAAGGAATTAATTTCTACCAACCATAGCCCTCCTCCTCGACCTCTTATCGTGATCGGGTATATTACCTTATACCTCAAGAACGGATTGTCGGAAGAGGGTACTATCAAAGGGCGATTGAAACGTCTGCAAGAAATATATCCATTGGTGATGTCCATACAAAAGCTATTTCGGTTAAAAAAATGCGCTTTATCTGCACAGGAGTTGTGCACAATTTATACTTGTTTATTTAGTGCTCGAGTTACAATTTTTGGGGGAGATTGTAGTATTTGTCTGAAATTCTGATTTGCATGGCGGACAGCAAGAAACGTTACTTTCGCACTTTTTTAGGCCATCTTTAAATAAAAACTCAACCTCTACTGGCTCAGGCGAAAAATAGTAAATAAGCACGGAGCAATATAGCGTGATGCGCACGACGCGACAACACAGACGCACTGAAGAGGGATCTTGAACTGGTTTCCAGAGGACACAAAAAGCATACAAACGACCAACAAGAGGGAGGGGGAAGCCAGAGGCCCCTTTCTAAAATAAGGACAAAGAAGCATCCGTTATGACCGGGACCGAGGCCGCCAGAGATACCCGAAACTGCGCGTATAGCGCCTTATGCCAGTGCCGTCGCGCGGCGCCAGGAAGAGAGGTTTTGCGCTCGCCCCCTCCCCCTCCTCCCCCCCTTCATCGGCTCCGCACACGGGCACTTTCCGAAGTAATTTTTCGTCTACTTTCATTTTGGTCCTTTGAGTTTTTTCTCTAAAACCAACATTTAGCGAGTTATTCAGAGAAATTCCGTTTTTTTCACGTTTTCCAACAAAGTACCCTTTTTTGACCCCCCTCTTATCTCCGCCCCCGTTGGTCCTAGACCAAAAGTGTATATATCACTTTTCCTGCAAATTTTGTGTACTTTAATTTTGAACTAAGGTACTTTGGGCCAAAAATCTAAATTTAGCGAGATTTTTCCAAAATTCTGAATTTTGGGCCGAAATTTTGGGGTTTTTTGCATTTTTGGGGGGGTTCCCCCCCCCTAAGGTTGGTGGGAGATTAAAAATTCGGAATCTACGCCAAAAAATACATAAGAATCAGTCATAACCTCTTGGACACCAAATTTTTGACTAAACTCCCCTATTTAGGTCTCTATTGACTGGACTATGTAGAGACATTGATTGTGATATCTGACTGAACGCAAAAATACGCCACCAATTGTAGACACGCGTGTCGTGTCAACTTTCAACAGCAACTCGGCCTCGCAATTAATAAACTTCTAACTTGACGAAAAAGCGACTTCAGACGGACGGCACCGCGGCCTGGGACTTGGCAAAAAGCGTTGAACTCCAGTATTTAAACGGACATCCCTCACTCACACTCGAAAAAATTCTTATCCAATAAACAGCCCTTGGAAACTCGATAAACCAATCAACATTTGCGACCGGACGCGTCTTTTTGTCACGTACGCGAAATTTGATTCGAAATTATCTAAACTATAACATTTCTACGAAAACAAACATTTTTTTCTGATTAAAAAGCCACCTTATCTTCAGACAATTACATTAATCTTTTAAAAAATAAACGAAAAACCCAATAAATCAAGTTGGAACTGTCACAAATGCATTAGCAAAACAAAATTGATAACAGAAATTGAGAAAAAAATTTCTTAACCTTAATTCTAAGAAACACCCTTTCTTTTACAATGAAATAAATAAACAAAGCAGCTACGTTATCAGTTTATTCGTAAATAATCCTCCGAAATTGATTAACATGAGTTGTAATGAGCATTTGATTAGTAATTAGAACACCCGCATACCTGACCTAAACCTCAACGTCCCAAACCGACATTGTTTACACAGCAATTTAGTATTACATTTGTGAACTCGTCATGAGAGAAATCCGTACTGTAGAATTTGCTGAACGTGCATGTTTTACATTAACAGCCGTTTAGGGTTGATAGTAAAAAAGGCAGTAACCACTGAAAATTTTAGACATCGCCATTTTGAGTAATAATCCGCCATTGTGGGCGTTCAAAATTTAACTCGGTAATTAAAAGGGGGATTTGTTTTGGAGAACTTCTAAGCGATTCGCGTTTTGCCATTCAGAGTGATCAGTTTGGATCCCGATAAAAGAAATTTGCGTTTTTTTGACGTTGGGGTGAACAGATTACTCACGATGTATTCGAAGTGAGCGCTTTAAGGTCCCGTTTTCAACAAATGAAACAGTTTTGGTTTTGACCGGGACAGTTACGGAAGTTCAAATCTCATTGTTTCATTTAGTGGAAAGTATAACCTTCGAATATCGCAATTTCATTCTGGTGTTAAGAAATTATCGCGCGTGGAAACACTACTTTAAATCAAAGAAGGGGTTAGAAACCGTAATCATAAACAGTGAGGTTTAATCAAGGTACTCTTAAAAGAAAATGTAAAGCTACTCCTTTACCTGGATTGAGTTTGATTTTTTCAATATATTTTCGTGAATATCACGTTGGAAATATTATTATTTATTAACCAGGAAATTGCCCTGAAACCAAATTCAAAGAATCAAGTAAAAAGGGTAAGTTCTTTCAATATTTGATTTAATTTCATTTCATCCTATTCGTGGATTATTTTTAAAAAAATTATTGATAGAATTCAGATAAGAAAGTGAAAGTTAAGGG